ATACCCCGGCTGCACACGGTTGATCTGGAGTGGCTGTAGCTTTCCTTTCAGTTGGATGAGGCGCAGAATCAGAACCAAGGAAGAACCGGGGATGTCCTGCGAATAAGATCGTTTCAATTTGGTTGATCGACATCTCGCTAAAAAGGAAGACGGCACCTTCTTTTACGACAGCTCTTAATGCCTCTCGATCATCAGGATATTTAGCGACAGGTTTACAAAAATTGAAGGATTGTCCCGCCCAATCGTCTACTGTCAGTGCGAGATGGTGTGCCGTGATCGTGCAAGCGACCGTCGATCCCAGGCGTTTGACCGTGTCGACTGCCTCTCTGGTTGTGGCGTGTTCCAGTACTATACGAAGGCGAGGAAAATCCCGGTGGAGAGTCTCCAAATGATGTAGAAAACGTCTTTCCGCGTTCAAAACACATGTGTTCTACAAGCGTGTGGCATTTACCAGCGTCAACCGGGCACAAGGTCGAGTGGAGTGAACGATCGATTGCCACTTACAGTGCCAGGATCCGAAGGGATCTCCCCATGTAAATTCAAAACCATATCCACTTGCTGCATTGCTTCAAATACAGGATAGTATGCGGTGTACGATTCGATGCCGGAGTCAGAATTTGTCGTCACACCTCGAGGATACGATTTGACGCCTGGCAAACGCGAGTCGAAAATGGTAAGTCGTGTGACAATATTAGGATACCGGTAAATAAATGCAGACCCACGATGCCGGCTTGTTTAGCTTTCATAATCTCCTGCGGTGTCAACTCCCTTGATAGATACAAGGTCATTAAGAATTGAACGTTCGGCTCGATTCGCTCTAATTCAGCCTTGTAAGCGAGTGCTTGATCAGTAGTTGTAATTGGAGGTGTAAGATTAGGCTTGAATAAAGTTTAGTTAACATCGTGACAGCATGGGTGTCCACTTGGGGAGCTTGAACTCAACCATAACGTATGCAAGCGTGAAACCCCCTTGTCGAACATGAGGCGTCACTAGCTCACAGAGAGATTTCTGTCGAAGATGCGCATGGAAGTCTGCAGGACCGGCGACTTCAAGCGATGAGTACGCGGTGGTCATGGTCTAACTTTACAAGGCCGAAATGCGGCCACGACTGGCCACATCGAGTGGCAAGACGTGGTTGGGTACGTACGAGAGGCACCAAGAAATTTGAAAGAGTTTGTTGTGATAGGTTCAGAGATCGACAGGGCGAGTTATAGGGAGATTGAGAATCGTCTGATGTAAATAGATGTGTTTGAGAACAACTTATACCTCTTTCTCTTCTGTCAGGCCTCTTTTAATACGTGACGAGAGCACCACC